AACCAAATTTATATGGGATCACCCCTGAGGTACCCCCTTACTAACAAAAAAGAATCATATAAATCGGAAAAGGTGGGAAAGCATTATCGCTAAACATACATAAAAAATGAAGAGTTTGAGGATTTTCTCATGGACCCAATTATTAGATTTTGACTAAATTTATATGGGACCACCCCTGAAGTACCCCCTTTCTAACAAAAAAAAATTCATTGAAATCGGAAACCGTGTTAAAGAATAATCGCTGAACATACATAAAAAAAAAGAAAAAAAAAATATATCGCGACGAATTGATAACCTCCTCCTTTTTTGAAGTCGGTTAAAAATTAAAAACATTTATGTTAACACATTGTTTTTATTCCGTGGAGGAATATATCGATCGGTGTAAACTTACATAGTTCTTAAACCTTCTACTCTATTTTGTTTTCTCATCTCTTTTATATATGCTCATCTAACTTAATTTGAGTTATTTTATTCTACTTAACAATTATATGTATGTAGTTATTTCGTTGTGTAGTTCTATATTTTATGTCTAAATAGGCTTTTATTTTAATATGTACGTTTTGTGACTTGCTACAAACATATATTGTAATATGTCACGTAGTCAAATAAAATTTACTTTACTATTATTCTTTTGGTGAATTCAATCAACATAAAACGTATTTCCAGTGTGTGTATTTTTTTTATTCTCAGAAATATTATTTCCGATGCTTATTTGAATATTATGTGAATCAATACTCCTTACATAAGATTAATTTTTGACCATCCCTAAAACAATTATTCTAAATTGTATGTGAGTTTTAATAAATAATAAATAAAGGTATACATAACTCTCTCGACACCTCCTTCTCATATTTTGTATTAAAAGTAACATCATGATTTCTACTTGTTATTTATGCCCTTCGCATGTTGAATAAACCCTTTTTGCAATAAACATCAGAATATATTTTCTAGCAAACATGATAGATCTCTCTAGTGAAATCCCTAGCTTTTCTTATCCTACTCTACATAGATATATGTATAATATAACTGTTGGAAATATTTCCCGCGAGTTTATGTTCCATTACACGCTCCGTTTGACGGGTGACACCAGATCTTTCCCAGCGTTACCTAAACTGTCACTAACCGGGAAGATGATGGAAAGTTATTTAACTTATCATGCGGAATATGAAATTAATATTTGACGGGTTCGAGATGATCCGATTTGCGTGTACTTAGATTGATGAAGGACGAGGTCAAGGATAAACATTATAACATGGTGTTTGAAAAAGGTTTAAATTATTAAAAAAAAAAAATGAATATTTTTGAGGACTAAAATATTTTATTTCATCTACGGGTAAAATTTCAAATGGTTTATCCACAGTAGGTAAAACGTTGACAAACCTAAATAATTTCAAGAATTGGTTTTTTTCTACGATTACTATCCTAAGTAGGCTTTTGCACATTCAAATCTAACTATAAAGTTGACGTTTTCCATGAACTGTCATAGTTTGACATTATTGCCGCATATAGTCATAAAGTTACTTTTTGCACACGCCTATTTTCATTAGAAAGGTTGTTATTATAAAGATAATCCGTATTTTAAAAAAATATGTAGACTAATCTGAATCTTTTAGTTGAACATTTAATACTCAAACTCATTTTCCATAATATTTAAATGATAATTAAAATATTAAAAATAAATTAACATGTTTTTAACACTCATATGTAACAGGTCTTGTTGGTGTAGAGCCTAGCGCGTTTGTCTTTGAACCTGATGGTCGTGAGTTCAATCTTAAATAAAACTTAAAACAGTGTATAAGCCATTAATTTGCGATTTGAGTATTCTAACCGATGATCTTGTAAGTTATTTTTAAGATGTACTCACTAACAAATTTTTTATGCGTATAATAAAATAAATCTTTAAGTAAGGAGGCAACACAATATACACATAACATACTTTTTGTTTGCTAGTCAAATTAAGGTAGTAAGATTTGAATTCGGCAAAATAAAACTATATACTTTTAATATCGTGTAATCGTAGAAAAAAATATTTTGTGTAATTCGAGCAGAAAGCTATTACGATAAAATGCCGCACTCCGCTGCGCGACGTGCGGCAACTTTTAATCTTAATCTTAATACATTACCTAACCTTTTTTTATGTTATAGAAATTAAACCTTCCAATCCCAGATGTCCGATTCATAAAATATTGCAGTATCATCTGCAAATCCTAAAATATCATCAGTTTTCATTTAAAGGATAATTTTGACAAAAAACACCGCTAGTATTTATAGTTTAACCCCTAGAGCAGAGGTCTCCAAACTTTTTTGTCTTGCGATAATTTTCGGTTTTGGGAGACCTCCTGCTTAACTAACATTGCATTTTTTATATTCATCAACTTCAAATGTATTTTAGCTGATTTTTATTAAGTAAGGTGTAGAAGAAACAGAAAACAATAAACAACATATTAATTTTTATACATTTATTAATAAAACTGAAATTAAAACGAATCAATATAAAATTAACCTGGTTCTTTAATAATACATTATCAATATTTGGCATCAATTTAGTGACATTTAATCTTTAATTTTTTCGGTTAATGATGTAAAGTTTGTTTCTTTCTTTTGTTATAAGATTGACAACCGCTCAAAAACATTTTTACACTAGATATGAAGACGGAAAAACAAATAAAAACGTTTTTGCAATATTTTATAATGCGGGATAAGTAACAAGTATAATTTTTAAAGCTCATGGTACGTTTCTAAACTGTACCTTACGTTCTCCGTTAGGGCTTATTCCGATCAGTTCCTCTTATAATATAACATCCGTTTCTTCACGTCACGACATGGATTTATTGGCCATTGTGGTATTACCATATTTAAAACATCCTTAAACAGTATTTAAAAATCTGCATAGAGGGCATTTAAATGTTGAACATAAATTAAAACGTAAACTTCCTAACAGTTTGTCTGTGATAAATTAGGAAACTGGGAAAATTCGCCCTATCTAATGTTTTGCTTCAAAAAATGCCGTAATTATGGATTTTGTTTTAATCAAAATTAGACTTTCACTTCTTTAACTTTACTAAATAAATCTGTTAAATAGAAAATCTCTGGTTTTCATCTGATTGAACTTTGTTTCAAAATTGGATATTTAGCCTCCAAAAGAGGGCCAAAAAATGCAAAAAATCTTGTCAAACATGAGCCTTTCAAAAGCCAGTGTACTTCAGTGTGGAGAAGCAAGAAGCAATTGATAAAAGTTCTCATCATTTTCTTTACAACTGGAGCAAATAATCGCGTATTCAATGCGTTGCTTCGAATACGGTTTCCTGAGCTAATGACAAATTGAAGAGATTCATGGAATCTACTACTCAGATTTTTGGCAACTAAATGTTGTACATGCATAACGCTATCACTAATTATCATTTATTATGTAAATTATGTAAATTGGGGAGGTAATATCGATGAAGAAATAACTGATGAAGAGGAAGAAAATATTTGCGACAATATGGAAAAACATGAAATTTATGAATTAATTAAAAGTATGGGAAATAGAAAAAACATATAAAACTGTAAATACAGTGTGTTTCCGAACTATAATACGAATGTTCAGAGGGTAATTCTTTAGGTTGTTTTATGAAAAAAAGTTCCTATGAACATATCGTCGCCCTTATCACGAAGTGACCTTATAACGATATGCGAATTACGTATTTTCATTTTATTGCTGTAAAATTTGCTATTTGTCACTTATGTCACTTCGTGATGAGAGGGACGATATGTTTGGAGTTACTTCGTTTTTGAGATACAAGGCGTTAAAGTCGGTAAATTTATAAATATCATAAATAACCTTAAATCGATTTGGTTAAAATTCGAAACACTTATATAAGGCGCTTATTTAGCTCAAACCAGAATAAAATTATTGGGTCCAGTGGCGTCTCAGTGGGCATTACAGCCAATATTATGAACATGAAAAAAAAGTAGATTTTTATTAATAATAAAAAATCATAAATCCACGGTAGCACCCAACCATGGAAGATACCAATCCGTTGCTACTGATTTGTATTTGATAAATATATCGCTATTTCCATCAAGTAATACTTCAGAACATTAAATACTGATTCGCCTTTGGATTCAGTTGTCAAAGTTTTCGCGAAAAGCAGTTCTTCGTTTATTTCTTGATCCATAATAAAATGAATACATATATGCCAATAATAATGCTTCATCACCAGGAAAGGTACCTATCTATATAGAAGGTACTGTGTAAAAAATTACAGAAAAGGCTTTCAATTTTATCACTCATTTCATTAATATGCCTTTGAATTGTGTTGTTGTTTAAAGGAATTCAGGAATTATTTTATTGATAAAAGATACAGGATTGTGTAATACAGTATTTAAAACTTCAACGGCTGGTAATAATAACTTTTTTCTACACCTACATGGATAATACCTTATCTACGCACTGATTACAAAACGAAAAAGTATGCTATTGCCTTCAACTGAACGAATATATTTCATATCCATTCTAGGTAGTCCTATGGTCAGCGTTCTGACCTCCCACGCAAATAATTGGAGTTCGATTCTGGGATGGGGAAAAATTGAGTGATATTTTTTCTTTTTTTTGTTTATTTAAATTTAAAAATTATTAAAAATCATAAATTACGGCGTCGTGCTCAAATTTCGTCTTTGTGCGATATGACCATCATATTCACTCTTGTTGCACAAACTACTATTATCCGGTAGCATGGGTTTTTGTAAATTTTGCTATAGGTAAGTATTGTTATGATATCTCACAATACCTTTTTTTATTTTAATTTAAATTATAATATTAATTTACCTCGGCTTCCCACTTTATCTTTTAATTTGACTCAAAAAAATGTTCTTATCTCAGGGGTGTTTCAAGTTACGATATTAATACTTTTTTAATTTTAATTTGTTTAAGTTAATTTAATTTAATTTAATTTATTTCAATTTTAGTTTTGATTTTAATTTAATTTTATTTTACTTTTATTTTAATTTTATTTTAATTTTATTTTAATTTTATTTTAATTTTATTTTAATTTTATTTTAATTTTATTTTAATTTTATTTTAATTTTATTTTAATTTTATTTTAATTTTATTTTAATTTTATTTTAATTTTATTTTAATTTTATTTTAATTTTATTTTAATTTTATTTTAATTTTATTTTAATTTTATTTTAATTTTATTTTAATTTTATTTTAATTTTATTTTAATTTTATTTTAATTTTATTTTAATTTTATTTTAATTTTATTTTAATTTTATTTTAATTTTATTTTAATTTTATTTCAATTTTATTTTAATTTTATTTTAATTTTATTTTAATTTTATTTTAATTTTATTTTAATTTTATTTTAATTTTATTTTAATTTTATTTTAATTTTATTTTAATTTTATTTTAATTTTATTTTAATTTTATTTTAATTTTATTTTAATTTTATTTTAATTTTATTTTAATTTTATTTTAATTTTATTTTAATTTTATTTTAATTTTATTTTAATTTTATTTTAATTTTATTTTAATTTTATTTTAATTTTATTTTAATTTTATTTTAATTTTATTTTAATTTTATTTTAATTTTATTTTAATTTTATTTTAATTTTATTTTAATTTTATTTTAATTTTATTTTAATTTTATTTTAATTTTATTTTAATTTTATTTTAATTTTATTTTAATTTTATTTTAATTTTATTTTAATTTTATTTTAATTTTATTTTAATTTTATTTTAATTTTATTTTAATTTTATTTTAATTTTATTTTAATTTTATTTTAATTTTATTTTAATTTTATTTTAATTTTATTTTAATTTTATTTTAATTTTATTTTAATTTTATTTTAATTTTATTTTAATTTTATTTTAATTTTATTTTAATTTTATTTTAATTTTATTTTAATTTTATTTTAATTTTATTTTAATTTTATTTTAATTTTATTTTAATTTTATTTTAATTTTATTTTAATTTTATTTTAATTTTATTTTAATTTTATTTTAATTTTATTTTAATTTTATTTTAATTTTATTTTAATTTTATTTTAATTTTATTTTAATTTTATTTTAATTTTATTTTAATTTTATTTTAATTTTATTTTAATTTTATTTTAATTTTATTTTAATTTTATTTTAATTTTATTTTAATTTTATTTTAATTTTATTTTAATTTTATTTTAATTTTATTTTAATTTTATTTTAATTTTATTTTAATTTTATTTTAATTTTATTTTAATTTTATTTTAATTTTATTTTAATTTTATTTTAATTTTATTTTAATTTTATTTTAATTTTATTTTAATTTTATTTTAATTTTATTTTAATTTTATTTTAATTTTATTTTAATTTTATTTTAATTTTATTTTAATTTTATTTTAATTTTATTTTAATTTTATTTTAATTTTATTTTAATTTTATTTTAATTTTATTTTAATTTTATTTTAATTTTATTTTAATTTTATTTTAATTTTATTTTAATTTTATTTTAATTTTATTTTTAATTTTATTTTAATTTTATTTTAATTTTAATTTTATTTTAATTTTATTTTAATTTTATTTTAATTTTATTTTAATTTTATTTTAATTTTATTTTAATTTTATTTTAATTTTATTTTAATTTTATTTTAATTTTATTTTAATTTTATTTTAATTTTATTTTAATTTTATTTTAATTTTATTTTAATTTTATTTTAATTTTATTTTAATTTTATTTTAATTTTATTTTAATTTTATTTTAATTTTATTTTAATTTTATTTTAATTTTATTTTAATTTTATTTTAATTTTATTTTAATTTTATTTTAATTTTATTTTAATTTTATTTTAATTTTATTTTAATTTTATTTTAATTTTATTTTAATTTTATTTTAATTTTATTTTAATTTTATTTTAATTTTATTTTAATTTTATTTTAATTTTATTTTAATTTTATTTTAATTTTATTTTAATTTTATTTTAATTTTATTTTAATTTTATTTTAATTTTATTTTAATTTTATTTTAATTTTATTTTAATTTTATTTTAATTTTATTTTAATTTTATTTTAATTTTATTTTAATTTTATTTTAATTTTATTTTAATTTTATTTTAATTTTATTTTAATTTTATTTTAATTTTATTTTAATTTTATTTTAATTTTATTTTAATTTTATTTTAATTTTATTTTAATTTTATTTTAATTTTATTTTAATTTTATTTTAATTTTATTTTAATTTTATTTTAATTTTATTTTAATTTTATTTTAATTTTATTTTAATTTTATTTTAATTTTATTTTAATTTTATTTTAATTTTATTTTAATTTTATTTTAATTTTATTTTAATTTTATTTTAATTTTATTTTAATTTTATTTTAATTTTATTTTAATTTTATTTTAATTTTATTTTAATTTTATTTTAATTTTATTTTAATTTTATTTTAATTTTATTTTAATTTTATTTTAATTTTATTTTAATTTTATTTTAATTTTATTTTAATTTTATTTTAATTTTATTTTAATTTTATTTTAATTTTATTTTAATTTTATTTTAATTTTATTTTAATTTTATTTTAATTTTATTTTAATTTTATTTTAATTTTATTTTAATTTTATTTTAATTTTATTTTAATTTTATTTTAATTTTATTTTAATTTTATTTTAATTTTATTTTAATTTTATTTTAATTTTATTTTAATTTTATTTTAATTTTATTTTAATTTTATTTTAATTTTATTTTAATTTTATTTTAATTTTATTTTAATTTTATTTTAATTTTATTTTATCAAAATCAACAATATAACAAAAATGAAACTTATGAGTTGATTTAATCTTTGTACCCTGTATTTTGTAAATTATATGTTTAAATAAACAAACCTTTCTAAAGATCAACTTGTTTAATTTACAGAAATCATTATGGAACAATCTAACAAATTTTAGATATTCTAATATCCTTTTAAAATTATATATAACTAATACTACCCTACTACACCTACTGAAGTACAACTCTGTTCAAATTACAAAATCAAATAACTCATATTTGATTAGCCTTTCAATTGAAACAATTATGAAAAATTATTAAAACTATTATTATGTCTATTATCAACAAAACTTATAATGAATACCTTTTATTCCTTTTTTAAGGAATAGTCAAAAAAAACTTGCACAATTAAAATGTTTATAAACGGCGTACTCACGGTCTTGGTCGACTTCTATCCAAATTGTCCTTGTACTCAAATCAACTCCTTCATCAGTTGCCTATCATCATATGTACATTTTACCTTCTTGTGTAATTTATACTTCTTATTACATTTTAGGAAGTTTTTTTTTACAGGTTTGCTTATTTAAATTCTTCTATCTATCTTTTTTAACGTACCATTCTATCTTTTAAATTTCTGACATCTCTTTTTTTTTAACATTTCAAAATTGATTAACTTTCAAAAACTGACTTTTTTTTTCATCTAGAA